TGGAAAGTGAATTTGCTCTGTAAATTTTCACTCAAATCACAATTAAAAAAAAAAAAAAAAAGAATTCTGTGCCAAAGGCTGAATAAAGCAGAAGACAAATTATTTAGTTTCTTGCATTTTCCAAAGACCAAAGACACAGACCTTTTCCTTCTCCTGCAAAATTAATTCAGGAAAACTGTTGAAGATACCAAAACTTATAAACTTAGAGTGTGATAGTAAATGTTTAAGAACTCTTAAAAAATTTCTCTTGATATTGTGTTGAGTCCCTTTCTTCAGTGGTTTTTGTTAATGATGCATTTTTTGGTTGTTCCTTAATGTATATATTATCAAACCCCTCTCCTTCTTCAAACTTTGGATCAGGGATAAGAATCAGTTCATTCTGGTTTGACTCCTGGTGAGAATGTGCATTTCTATCCCAGATACACTGAACCAGAATCTATATTTTAACAAGACCCCCAGGTGATTCTTATCTATACAGAAGAGCTAGGGATCTAGAAGAATCACCTGGGGACCTTGCTAAAATGCAGATACTGATTCAGTATGTCCGGGATTGTTGTTGTTATGTGCCATTGAGTCGGACCCGACTAATAGCGACCCTCCTTGGGTTTCCAAGGCAGCATCACTAGGCAAGTAGATTACCCAGCCTTTCCAAGGAGTGGCTGGTAGGTTTGAACAGCCAGCCTTCTGGTTAGCAGTCAAGTGCCTTAGGCACTGCACTGGAATGTAAATTCTCAGCAGGGGAGTCAAACCAGAATGAACTGGTTTGAAGCTCTGCTTTAGATTTTCTTTAGAATAGACATAATGATTCACTAAGCTATGAAAGACCCTTAAAGTAGGCAGGCTAGGATGCACTTACGACCAAACTATAGGAATAAATCAGAGTCCATTTACTACTATCCACTGACTCCAGTGGATTCTGTGCATTTTGCCATGAATTTTTGGTTTTCTTCATTCTTCTTGGCTCTGGGCAAGGAGAGACCTGTCGATGCATCTAGATGGCAGCTTGCAAGCTTTTAAGATCCCAGTCTCTAATCGCCACAGTAGGAGGTGGAACAATGTTTTGTGTAGTATGTTATGCCAATTGAGCTTGATGTCCTCTGTGACTATGGTCGCAAGCCCACAGACTCAACTACTAGGTCCCTCTGAGTAGCTGGCTGTGACTAAGCAGTGACTACAACCTTGCCCCTTGTCAGCTCCATTATACACTTGGGAATTCAGATAATACACATAAAGTTATAGGAAAGCTGTCTGCCAACCCTATACATGTTCTCGGGTGCACTCCCCACTTCACAGACATACCTATTTCTTCAGGATGTCCACC